CATCCACCATGTAAATATATGACGACTGAAACTTAATACCAGCTTCTTGCTTGTTAGAACAGTTAAGCGTCCTTGGCTGTCTGTCCACCATTCATGGACCTTTCTAATATCACAGACAAAAGCAGCATTGAGCAGCAAAGCAGACAACGGAGGCTGAAAGAGGGATGCCTGAGATGAGCTTCACAGGAAGGTGACGAGGCGCAAACTGTCTCCCCGACCCTGTCTGGGACAAGTTAATGACTTCTCCATTGTGCTTTTGTGAATGAGGACCACATTAGAAACACAAAGGTGAGCTAAGGCAAGGTGAGCTAAATAAACACATCAGAAAGTGAAGAAACAGCTGGACTAATAGCCTGATCACATTACACCGAGTGTGTTTAAGTCCAGAAAAAATTTTGATACACATGTCAGACTTGTGTTTGTGCATGAATGCATCAGTGCATGCTGCACTGCCCCTACAGGTGTCTCAAACTCAACTTCAATTCTCTCTGACTGATCCACCACAGTCAGTCACAGGAATGTCTGGTCAGCGGCGACGTGTGTGGTCGACCCAAAACACCTGACCACACCTGTGACAACCTACACACACACACACACACACACACCAACATTTCTCCTGAGCATTTTTCACAAGTGCAGCTGCTCTGCTAAAGAGAAGAAGTTTGTTCCACTGTCATCACTCAGTTAACAACTGCATCACCGTCAAGTTCTACCTCACATATTCACTTTCATCAGATTCTAATCATAAAGCCACATGTGGCTTTTCTGCCCAGACAGAGATGTCTCATTAAACCTCATCAGGACATTCCTTTTCCAAAGAGCTTCTTACAATTGTGTTGTGTCTGCTAAGCAATTCAAGTTTTTTACACAGGAAGAATAGGTAAAATCGTATAAAACAAATTCTTACATTTTCAAGGATTTAAAAAATGTTTTGATATGAAAGTGATATATTTAGCCTTGTCCTGAGTGTTTAAGCAACTTTATGTTCAAATAAAATACTTCTTATATGTATTATCAGTCATTTGGTTCATTCACTGAAAGGGTTATTTTTGTTCAATAAAGACTGAAGTACATTACAAAACATCTGATTTTATCAGGCTTTTTTTATGTGAGTTATTGTTTTTTAAGTGAACCTGATTCTATCAGTCAACACCTTCATGGAGAGACAACTATAGTATATAGCATATATATATATATATATATATATTATTTAACTTGTGGCATTGGCCTTACCTCCAATCACCAGTAAGTGTCTATTTGTCTTTTCTCAATGTTTTCAAGAGGTTCTTATGAAACGGTTTGCTTAAAGCCACAGTTCTATCAGCAAGCACATTAATCAGAGGATTTCCTCTTGGATAAAAAAAACGCTGACTAGACTGTAACAATGCATGGGACTGCAGACAACCGATGTGATAATTTTAGAAAAAATTCTGAAGGGCATGGGAACATTGGCCAGCAGCATTAACGAGTCACTGCTGTAATGCTTCATCACCACTAAACACTTACAGCACAGAGCTCTGAAGCGTTGTGGCTGTGAAGACAGAAGACAAACTTTGTCCCCGTGTTATGCTGACATGGTAACTCTGGGAATGAAAACTCCCAACATCCCAGCCTTTAGTCCTTGCCAGATCAACAAGTTCCTTTCTTACTGGCACATTATAAAAATCGTGACATAACTTTATGACGATGCATCAGTTCAAAGATAAAGACCAACTGAAGAACATTCTCTTCAACATGAAACACTCACAAATCAGTTAAAGCTGGGCAGAAAAAGAGTCACACACAGCACCCAATTTGTTTGTTTCTTGCTGAGTTCATGCAGTTTAGAGTTAAAGGAAATGATAATAAAAAAATATACATACTTGGCTGAAGAAAAGACTGACGAGTGCATATGCCAAGCCACAGTTAATGGATGTAATGACTTTCAGTTGCAACAGAGGTTTATCAGGAACACTGGTATTTGGCTTTCCAGCACATCCTCAGTTCCCCATCAGATCTACTGCTGCTTTCTTTGAAGTAAAACTGCAGTCACTGATCTAAAATAATATATTTTTATATTTTATATAATAATAAATTCATCATTTAATTTTATAATTTGTTGAATTTGTAATATATATATATTATTATATTATATTATATATTGTTATTCATTGCCTTGTTGACTTGGGTATGAAGTACATAGTATAACATCTGACTCTATTACTACCACCAAACAAAAGCCTAACACACAGGGAAAAGCTACAGTCGTTGTTCTGCCTTACATTCATGACTGAATGCACTTGTTAAAGAGGCACACAGCCAGTGAATAGGCATCTTTTAGTTACCCACACACCGATAGCTCAGTTTGAGGTGAAACAGCATTCCATATTGGGTGCAGGGGGCGTGTTTAAGGGGCTTGTTTTTGTTGTTGTTTTTTAAAGCTACGCCAGAAAGAGCTTTCGTCAGTAGGACGTTCTAAGGGCCAGGATTCACACAGATCCCTCATTAATGTATGATCAAGGAAGACAGAGGACGTCTGTGGAGCGCGGCCAGCACTTGCTTCCTCCCTACAGAGAACCCTTTCTGCACCTTTGGACCCCACTTCATCTCTTTATTGCACAAGCACACACAAAACACACCTATAATATCCAGTTCCACCTCTGGCAAAGGAGGAGAAGGAGGAGGCAGAGTTAGCCCAGAGGAAGGTGAAGCGTGTGAGTGTGTACATGTATATATGTATACGTGTAGCGAGATTAAAAAGAAATTGAATCCTGTCCTGCTGAGTACAGGCTGCTTTTAATGCTGCATCTCTCAGCTTCAATTAACAGCTTGTCCTATGACTGGCTCCTGTTAAAGTTAAAGTGGACCAGCTGAGAGAGATAAACACACCTCGTCCCTAGAGTGCGTTGAAATCAGAGGGACACCAACAATGTGCCATGGCCTGAGCCACTGAAGGCTGGCTGTGCACATCGCTAACAGGTTTTAGCAGTCATTTCCTACCTTCTTCTCCAATTTCCTCTCCCTAGTTCATGAACAGGGCAGACAGTCAATACTTTACCCTGCTATGTTGTCTGTACTTTCTCAGATCCTGTATGTACACATTCTGTCATTCTGTATGTATTAAATGTTTTGATATCTTTAAGATAGGCCAACTCTTGAAGTTGACATAAAAAAAACTTTAAAAACTATGAACAAATAGCGGAGCTTTATGATTTATTTACCTTCTATATTGCTTATGAAACAGAGTGATAATGTAAAATTCATAAAACTGACCAAACAGAGTTAGTTCTGCTTCCACATGGATGTAGGTCAGCCTACGTAGCCCTCTTTGGAGGCCCCTGTGTACACAGAGTCCATTCAGGGCCCCCAAGGTGTAAATTGGGCAGTAAACAGTTTACAGGGCAATCTTCTAAACCTACCAAAGCTCTCCCTGATTCACCAGATGCACAAACAACCATCCACACAATGAAAAAAGAGGAATTAAAATAGGTCAGTTTGGCCAAATTTCAAGCTAAATTAACAGGGTAATACAAATAAAACAGTTGTTTGTTTGTTTTTTATCTGGGCAAAAACACAGTATCACTTCTGCAGACAGAAACCACAAACAAAACTGTCATGTACAGTGGAACTCATTTGGAGAATCACATGAGTTATAATTGTGGCCATAAAAACAAATCAGTAACATTTGACAGTAATACTATAGAGAATTCTATCAACTCTGCATATAGAAAATACAATAATAATAACAAAATTGGTACTAACATCATTATCTCCTCTGATAAGTCGACAATTCAGGTCCAGCATTTTTCTATCACTACTAGTGCAGCAACAAGTGACCAGAGAGCTGAGAGCAAAATAGGCCTCAGAACTAAAATTAGCCTGACACTGACAGAGAGCAGTCAGAATGCATGCTTAACTGACATAGGAGTGACCCTGAATTCAGATATTTGTTTTTAAACAAAACATTCAGTCGGTCAGTACCATGGACAGAGACTATGTCACCACAGCCTGACCTCTGGGACATCGTCCTGGACAAATGGAGGAAAGGACTAGAAAATGACCTTTTGTTAAAGACACACAAAACCTCTTACATCAGATAACTTTACTCTGACAGCTGACAGCATCTCAACTGTCAAGTTAGAAGATACATGAGGCTGAAATAGAAGTCAGTTTGAATACAGAACAACAGCAACAAACAAATAGGATGGACCTAACTTCTTTTATCCTGTAATAGATCTGCTGTATGACTTTGACATGACTTTCAGTGATGTTTTTAACTGGAAATGCATGATGTGGCAAAATTTAAACGTGTTTCCTTATTTTAAAGTAGGAAAGGAAGTGAAACCATGTTTCAATCTCCCACGGTTCCATACGTGGCATATGCTTTCACCCAGCAGCCTTTTCACAATCTGCTGAGTCACTGTGAACGACTATTTCAGCAGGGCTAACACTTAAGTCACTCAATACACGACAAGGCAGTAATAACAAGAGCTCCAGCTGGTTTGGTGGCTTTAAATCTAAATATAACCGGGTCCAAAGCTGTCATGTAAACCTCCAAGATAATGGTGCGTTCAATTGCCTCTCTTAGGACTCAGGCAGGGGGTAAAGACAACAAACAACAGGACAGGAATACAGATGGAGCCTAAAATATCAAGTCATTGCTGCGTATTTGGCGAGTAAAGTGGGTGGATGAAGCCAGACAATCAATATGCTATATTAAATGTTAATCTCTATGGAAAGAAGTCCAGGACAGTAATTTTTATTTGAAAAAACAAATGCAATAAAGCTAAAATACGTCATTTATCAGGCTTCATCTCAATTTTAAAGTTTCACAGACAACATAAAAAAATTAATAGAACACATCTCACACAAAATATACAACGCTGCAATTTTCCACAGTTTATATAATTTCCCACGGTCTTTGAAAGTATCAGTTGCTCGTATGCGGGCACTGCTGTTTAGTTGCCACAAACAAACAACTCAAACGCCTCTATATTGAAGTGTGTGCGTCCTCCACTCACCTTGTTGAGGAGGGGGCTTCTGGTGACATCGTAGCCTCTTTTCTTGGTGAACACAAAGCTCTTTCCCGGGGCCTCAGACCTGCAGGTTTCAGTGTCCACGGACTCTCTCCTGGCTGCAGCGTGTGCCATGTTGTTGCCTCTTTAAATAGAGCGAAGCCACTGCACTATTGTGAACTCAACAAGTGCAGGACAGCTTCCAGTGCAGCCTCTAATATACAGCCACTGAGCCTCGGTCTTCTTATCAATAAACTGCTGTTTTTTATCGTTTCCACTTCAACGCTGTCGCGAGTCACAGTGACATCACTCTGCGGTTCACAGTAAGGATGTGGCCGTTAAAACACACCCAGAGAAAAGAACCTGAATGCAGCATATTTTCTGCTGAGTTAATAACCACAAGTTTATCTGAGAGCATGACGATATTATTACAAAAAAATATATAGGTATATATGGTAACAGCGAATTTAAATTAGAACAATGTAGTAGTTATAATTTGATATTATCCGACCACTGTGTTAGTTATATTTACTGTTACTCACTGTCATGTAAATTGTATACTATATTGAATGTACTTAAATGGAATATTTTATTATTGTTGAGGTTTTCAGTGGCCAAACGGTTCTATTTTTGAGCCTTTTTTCTTTGATGAGAACAAGTGCAAATATTTTTAGAAAATTTAAAATGTTTAAAAATAAAATTCTTTGAATGTTTGGTTTAAAGAAAGTCAGAAATAAAGTAGAACACAGTTTGGTCACAATCCACTCACAGTGCAGCAGTATCAAATAATGAGAGCACTTTTTACAACAGTCTAAATGGAAGTGGAAGTTTAGACTGAATGTAAATAAAATCACATGACAGTGAGAATGTGATTGGTGTCTGTGACAACATGAAGGGGATATTTTAAAAGAAAAACCCTTTGAGTTTGAAGAAAATAAAACATAATGCTCAGAGCTTGACCTCACATCAAGTGTGTCAACATGGTTACACTGATGAATATACTTTTCTTTCTGCACAGATCAGATAAGCTATGAAGATTGGATCATTGTTCAAACAGTGCTGTTCTGTATCAAATCACAATGTTCCTGAGGACTTTTATACTTTACTAACCTACAGTCTTTGTCTCAACAATACTGTTCAGCAAAAATGTCTGCACTTGCACATGAGGTTCACTCTGGCACCGAAGGCTCTCTAATCTTGAAGGCCCAAAGTCAGCATTGACTCCCTGCCAGATCCTGTTTCTACTGATTCAGACTCTATGAACACACCATGCTGTGTCATCCTCTATCTTAACTTAGGAGGGAGAAATGTCATTCTCTTGACACATATAGGCTAAACCCAATGCAGTTTTTTTTCTTTCCTAAACATGGTTTTTGGTGCAGTACCACTACTGATCAGCAGGTTTCAAAAACACTTGTATTGTAGATCTACAGTACTGTAAAACCTCTTTAACAAAGCCTTTTTTATTAGAGATTAATGTAATTTTTGATTCCTGGTAAAATCTTAAAGCATTATTGTTATTATTATTATTGTTATTATTATCAATAATAATAATAATAATAATAATAATAATAATATAACCTAACTTTTTGAGAATGGTTAAGCTGAAACCTGGGCCAGTGTCCTTACCCCAAGGTTTGGTCACACAGACTAACTTCAACAAAACATCATCACTCCAGCAGCTTAAATGTCCTTCAAGACAAACACTACTAACTTGGAGCAGCATCCAAAAGCACCAGATGTCAGGCTTTAAAGCAACACGTACATGTGTCGGAGCAGAGCAGCTGCTGTGATGCCAAGCTCAGTGTTTGATGTTGATCACATTCTTCAGAGCATTCTTCTAGCAGCTTCTCTGCTGATCGCTTCTGTTTATCTGCAGTAACTTGAATGACTAAGCAGGATGACAAACATCTGCCATCTCCATCATGAAGGAAGTCTGGAGTTTGAGCATGGGGCACTAAGCCAGTTGGCAGTTTAGGGCACAAGGGATGCTGGGAGAAAACCTTCTTTGGAAAGGTCTGTCAGCCCACCCACTGAAGATGATCACAGCAGTGGAACAGCTGGCTTGTGTCAGGGAAGTTATCTGCCTGTAGTGGCTATGTAGAAAACTATGTTGTCTTTGAACCATGTCACTTAATGTATATGCATGTCATCATTTGAGATACCAAATACATTATACCAAACACAATGTTGTATAAAGAAGACCTGAAAAATACATCTATCCTCTAAGTCCTGTTTTTTACACCCCTGATGGTCATCAAAACAAAAATGACAGGTTTCACACATGTTTGCATTTGATCCATATCCAGGACACAGTCTTAAACCAGTGGTTCTTAACCTTGTTGAAGGTACTGAACCCCACTAGGTCATATACGCATTCACTGAACCCTTTGGTGATGGCCAAGCGGGCGACATGTCATCACGAATCCCATGAGTCGAGTGTGTATTTTGTCCTCTGCCGAACCCCTGAGACTGACTCACCGAACCCCTGGGGTTTGATCGAACCCAGGTTAAGAACCATTGTCTTAAACCCATCGTTTCTACTTCCACTTTTAGGTAAGTTATAAATTAATTTATTTTTGAGAACAGAGAGAGAGGGGTGTGCATAAAGAAAATGGAAAGCTGCCATACAATAATAAACTCTCTACAGTCGTCACTCAGTCTGTGATGTCCAGATGACCTGCAGAGATATTGTCTAATAATGATGTTGTAAAAATATAAACTAGGTTTGACTTAATGGTACCTGCAGCCGCCCACTGCATGATCACGTCTTCATCACACTGCAAAACTGCCTCTTTTACTGGACTTATATCATGTTATTTAATCAGCACATTCACACACATACCATGAGAGAGAGAGAGAGAGAGAGAGAGAGAGAGAGAGAAATGCCAGGGAATCTTCCTAGTTTTTTTTCCAACAGCTTCTTTTTTCATCCCGTCTGTGTTTTGACTCCTGTTTATCCCTGTGAGGTTTTTCTGGTCAGGAAGAGGAGGAGGCAGCAGACAAAGGCAAACACAATTACTGAGAATCAAATCACCCACAAACACATGGTTTTCTCTCCCTCCTCCATTCATTTTGCAGCACACTGACAGCAGAAGCACCTGGCTATACTTCCTGCACTGGAGCTCATGGTAAAGACTTTATGAACGCTGTCATTAGATGTGATTACAGCCAGACTTTAAGGAGCGAAGAAGCCATACCTACTGATTGAAATGGCACCTGTTAGTTCAAAACAGGAGGGACAGAGTTCACGTGAAGGTTTGAGGTTTGATATAAATTTATGACCGGTGACATTTTTCAGTCCCTAGCTTGACAAGTTCCTTATAATGATTTTCTTATGGCGACTTTATGTTTTTATATTACTGTTTTGTTTTTTGTTTTTGTCTTTAGTAGTAAATGTGCCATACTTTTTTCACCTGCAACAATGTTAGTTAGTTACAGTTCTGTTTTATTGTGATGGACTGGTAAACTGTTCAGGGTGTATGCTGCCTCCACCCAAAGACTGCTGGGATTGGCCATTGTGCATCAATGTGTCTTTGACTTTACTGCTGCTCATGTTAACAACAGTAGATAGCGCTAAAAAGCTCAAAGGTCAAAACACATCAGGTTTCATGAGGTCACAAGGTGAAATATTCCCGTCATTACAGATAAAGGTGTAATCTCCTGGCCTGACCTCAGTCCTATCTTTTTACTATCACTTCTCTGGATTCATTAACTTCACCATAGATGACTTCTGTACTGTCATCTTAGAAGATTTACACAGTGAGCTTTCCCATACTTTCCCATGAGCCAAGGTTTCCTGAACCCCCTCTACTCTGAAGAACCGGCAGCCGTCAGGTCAGATAACTGGCAAAGCAGGAAAATCTGGAGAGGAACCACATTTCCTCCTATTAGGTATTTTTATGAGCCTGTAACTGTTTCCCCTTTGTAGCCAGAACTGAATGCACATGTTCAGAGCCTGTAGCTCCACTGAGGACCTTCAGCACCAGCGGAAGAAATGGGTGGATGTTTGGAGGGGATTCCTGAGGAGTGCCGCACTTTCAAGTCTGCTGCCAGGCCCATACATTCATACATGACTTTTCCCTCCCTCTTCACTCTCTCTCTCCCTCACCCTCTTCATATATGGCCTTCCCCCACTTCCCAAAATCAATGGGGCCTTTCACTGATCACTCCTCATAATGACCCACTGTTTGAGATTTAGGAAAGAGCGGAAGGAGAAAGAGAGAGAGAAAGAGAGAGAGAGAGAGAGAGTTTTTTTTTCGGAGGCTTTTCTGTCCAGCCTTATTAAACAAAGCTGAGTTTACAGGCATGTTCTGCAAGAAGGAGCTTGATCATAATAGCTTGGGTGGGTTTGGGAAATTCAGAACATACCCGGAGGAAGCTTAGCCTTCGCTACAGAACGATTGAATATCAAAGTGTTAAAGTGGCCATGAGTCTGAACAGTAACTTTAATGTTTTTGAGTTTGTAACATTTATTTAGAAATCTCCCAAAAACATGTAAAGGTTTTCTGCAACCTTCGGTTTAAGCACGTTTAGAAATCCCAAATCGTTGTTTGCTGCATGTTTTACTATGTATATGTCTAATATGGACAAAAGATTCTCAAAAAAAATTCAAAAGATGATCAGAACGGTTATGCCAGTTTGATAAAGGAAATTAATAACAAAGGTTTTAACTAAGACATGTATTGTTCAGTATTATTGTTTTTACTTTTGCAAACACGATACAAACAAACAATAAAAAACATTTAAAATTAAATTAACACTTTTTTCACATTTCAAAAATTTCTGGTAAACTATGACAAACAAAACTATGCTGGAGCGATTTTAAATCACAAGGTCAAGAGAATGATCTAAATACGTATTTAATTGAATTTTTTTTGTCTTTGACAACTGTTTTAATTGTAATGTTTTGATGTTTTTCTCCAGGTTTCTTTTGCCTTAGGGCTGAGTTTTTTGGTTGTTTTTTTTTTTTTTTTTTGGTGCATGTTTATCATTGACACCATGAATGAGTGGGCGTGTTTGGTCCTTGTTATAATGATGGTGCCCATAAAACAAGGTGTGTCTACATGCAGAATAACAGGCCGGGGTTTGCCAAACAGTGATGAACAAGGTGGTGAACACCAAAGGAGATTTCCACTCAGTGATAGTTAAGTTCCTCCAGTCGAACTGCGATATGGCCTTAAGCAGATTGAGCCGAGAGACGTCATCAACCGCACTTCAACAAAAACCTCCTTTCTTCTCCAGGAACGAGGACAGAGATTAGTGTGTTAACCTAGTCACACGCAGTGTTTGGGTAACCTTTTTGACCCCACACAATACTATGTGAGTCT